CACCCCCACAGCTATAAAACTGTGGGAGCTCAGGAGTTCTACCCCTATCTGGGAAGCTCTCTCCCCTCCCCTTTGCCCGGGAAGGGGATTCAAGCCGCGGAGCAGCTGTTTGACGCTGCTCCTGCGGCTTTTACGCGTCCTCGGAGCAGGCGGCGAACGAAAACGCCGCCATCGGCACAGGAACTCAAACCGGAAGTCCGAGTTGTTTTTCTTTTTAAACATCTATTTCTTTTTCAAAATTAAATCCCTTCCCATCCTCCATTAAAAGTGTGTAAAGTTTCTCCAATGTCTAATGAGATTAAATGTCCAGGGCTTAATTACTTGGCTATCACACTCAACTCTCTGGCAGTGGTCACCATGGTCCAGCAGGCCCTAAGGAAGGCCAGGCAATTAACTCTTGCAACAAACCAACAACCACACACTTGTCTCCTGACAGTCCCACTTAATGGAAGAAGAGAACTTGCTGGTCTCAAAGGAGCTGCCAAGACAGGTCTCTGGAGGATCAGAAGAATAAACTGATCTCAGTTTCTGCACCCATCAAAATAAATGAGAAAGTGGAGGATAGGGTGAACATCTAGAAAGGCATTACTAAAGCTGCCTTGATTTCCAGTTGTGCTAGGCAAGGGGTGGTGGTCACACAAATTGTCTTTTTCTTGCTGCGTAGGCAAGATCTAGCTGTAGAAGATCCACAAAAAAGGTTCTCATCCTCTTGGGACAATTGGGATCAATGGAGAGTACTATTTGCCAGTTTGTGGTTCCCCAAGTTTAATTGCCTGAATTGAAAGAGTCCCCTTAACTTTAAAATTCGGAACCAAATCTGATTCTGGAATGATATTGCAACATCTGTGGAAAGGCCACCAAAACTGGAGTGGTTCATAGTTCCTATCACTATTACTACGAGCAATACAAACCTATTTTTGTTTTAGCACACGGGAAAAGTCACACCGGCACTTGCTGTTCTCTTCCCAACAGAAGAATTGTGCTCTGGAGTTGTTTTTCTTTTTAAACATCTATTTCTTTTTTAAAATCAAATCCCTTCCTATGCTTCCCTTGTTTCAATTGCAGCCAGAGCTGCATCCAAACCTCTCTGCAGTTGTGGGGGATCCACTCACACAAAATCCCACTGAGATTCAGGGAAGTCCAAAAGAGTTTGGGGGATTTTCCAGCCACAGTTAGTCCTTGACTTACAATGATCACTTAGCGATCTTTCAAAGTGATGACAGACCACCAAAAGATACTTACAACCTAATTCCAAAATTCCAGCGCTGGCCCCCACCCCTGTGTTAATGTGACTGCATTTTGAGTGCTAGGCAACCAGACCACATTTATGACCATTTTCAGTATCTCACAGTCATTTATTTGACTGTAATTTATGATGCGTTTGCTGAAAACTGGTGTTTACCTCTGGTTTTCAGCAAAAATATGCGATAATGAACAATGGCTTTGCTTAATGACTACCACGTTCATGTTATGACTGCTGCATTTGCTTAATTGCTACAAAAGTAGTTTTAAGAATTAGGTCGATCACATGGGTGACCTTCTTTAGGTCTTATGACCAAAATGGTCAGGCTTCAATATGGTCATAAGTGGAGGACTACCTGTAGCAATCTCGGTTTCTTTGTGGGATATGATGATAATATATGAATCTGGTGCAATTACTTCTTTGTTTTACCAAAATAAATAAATAAATACAACTAGAACCTGCTGGGACCATAACTCCTCAAAAATAGTCAGATTCCAATATTTTGGGAGGCAGCTGAACATAATATTAGCATATTAAACATCAACGCAATTCCACATCAATCTACATTTGGACATCATTATTACTTTTCAATGACCTTCCCCATTTTGCAGAGCCTGTTCAGCCTCTTGGCAGACAAAGAAACCGGTTGAAGAAAGTTGGAATGCCGTGGAGGATGACACGTTGCTAAGCAGGAGCTCTTATCCAGCATACTTTGTGGTGCTGATGAGGCCAAGACATTTGTCCTCCTCCCCTTTTGCATCCTCCCAGCTCATAGGATCTCTGGATCTTTGGTTTCCAGCCTCTTTGGGACAGGTCATAGGAAGAGGCAGGGAGCTTCACAGAGTCCTAGGGGTTAGACCACCCTCCATGAGCAAGAGTCTGGATTTCCTAAATCCCTTTCAGGGTAGGATGGTAAGCAGGGAGACAATTCCTTCTTAGGCTAGGTAGGAGACCTTAGCAAGGAGGCTTTGGAGTTCCAGACTTCTGTATCGGGGGAGGTTGGAGGTGCAGGAAAGGAAATGACTGTGGAACTAGTCAGGTGAAATGTGGGACTGGGCAGTTTTGGGTTGGGTGCTTAGAACAATTACACCAAACCTTTCCCAAGAGATGAAGAAAGGAAAATATTATGTCACTTTTATGCTGCTTTCCTGTACTCACATGTCTGAAGAGATCATAAAAAAACACCTTAAGGGAGAGTAAAAAATCGATTCTGAATAAATCAGTAAATGAAAGAGTGGCATAAAACCAAGACTTTTGACAAGAGGACGTCCCTGCCATATGTGACACAGTTTCAAAAATGGACACAAGTAAAACACCAACCATAAGCCGTGTTTCAGAAGGTTTCAAGTGCTTAGTCAATTATTCCTTTCCACCTGGCCCCTTTCTGGGTGGCGAGATTTTGGGGAGACCCTTAATATCATTTCCTTGTCTTCCAAGGTGAAAAGACAGAATGGTCAGGAGTGGGGTGGCCAGTTGAGCAGACCTTCCCAGGAGATCTGGCTAAAAAGGTTTTTCCTTTCCAAAGGGTTGTGCCCAGACTTAGCCAGACCCAGGGGAATTATGGGAGCGCTACTTCCCATTTCAGTGGGTTTACCAAAAGAATAATTTTCCCCCAAAATATTTTTTAGACCTTATTGATGCTTGAGGTTTACAAGCCAAACCACCATTTAATTGCCACTGTCTCCTGCTGGCTTGTAAAATCCCTTGAGGTTCTGGAAATAGCAGCATAAATATTTCAGCAAGAAGTGCCAGCCAACATTTCTGCAGGAGGAACCAAGCCAGCTTGCTAATTTGGTAAGTTAAATGTCTGACCATCTTTGTGGGGTGGAGTTTTAGCAACAGAGCTCAGATCTCCACAGAATTGAGGGTGGGAGTATTGGAGGGATGGGTCCCCTTGTAAAAGTTCAGGGATCCTGAGCAGCTTCTGTTTGAACAAAAATAGTGCCCAGCTGGGTCTTGCTGCGATGGCATGCTGCCCAGGCTTCTCCTTAGTTCTAGGTTGCTTCTCTCTTTGGTTAGTTTCCATCCGTTGCTTCTTGTCCTGCCTTCAGGCGCTTTAGCTTGACTCCCTCTCCTTTGTGGCAACCCCTGAGATATTGGAACACTGCTATCATTTCTCCCCTCATCCTTCTCTTCACTGGGTCTTCTCCAATGGAGAAATAGGAGGTATTTCTCTGAAAGTTTCCAGGAGAAGTTGAGCCTTTGAGCAAGAGAGTCAAATCTCAGCCTGTGGCTTTTTTTCCCATTCTCTCTCAATAAGCCCAGAAGTGGGAGAGAGATGGAGAAAAAGGGGGTAGCAGGAGAGATAGAGAGGGATAGTCTCCTGAGGGAGTTAGGAGGAAACCAGATGCCATGTGAAACCTGGAAATGCATATAGCTGTTGTAAATACGTCTTGCAAATCACTTCACTGCAAATAGTAAAAAACATAAGAGCCTCAGCCGTTTGGTTGTCTGTGTCAATTGCTACACTTATAGAAAGGAAAATTGACCTCCAGTTCAAAAAGAAACCCATCATACTGTGTCAAGGTGGTAACTGAGACTTGTTTTTTTCCTTTCTTTTTGAGTTTCTTAAACTTAAAACTTAGTATGTTTTTATTATGGTTTTCAGCCCAGAGGTCCGTTGGTGGTATAAATTTGTTAAGTAAATAAAGAAATAAAACTTTATGCATTGATGTTTCCAACTGCAGGAGTGATGGTCTGCCCTGGGATTTGCAGATGATATGAACCCTGCTCTCTACAATGCCTGTTTCAGCCCATCTACCTTCTTTCTTATGGGTGTACCTCAGCTGGAAGCGGTCCATGTATGGCTGTCTATCCCTTTTGGCTCTATGTACATCATGGCAGTGCTGGGGAACTGCACCATCCTCTTCATCATCAAGGAAGAGCCGAGTCTCCACCAGCCCATGTATCTCTTCCTTTCCATGCTGGCTGTCACTGACTTGGTGCTTTCCTCCTCTGCACTGCCCAAACTGCTAGCCATCTTCTGGTTTGACAGCAAGGAGATTAGTTTCCATTCATGCCTCCTCCAGATGTTCACCATCCATTCTTTCGCCACAGTTGAGTCAGGGATTTTCCTGGCTATGGCTTATGACCGTTATGTGGCAATATGTACTCCCTTGAGACACAAGGCCATCTTAACCCATTCAACAGTTGCCAAGATTGGGGTGGCTGCTGTTCTGAGGAGTTTCTTTTACATCTCACCCCTTCCTTTGCTTGTAAGAAGACTGGCTCGCTACCGCACCAATATCATTCCACACTCTTATTGTGAGCACATGGCTGTGGTGATGCTCTCCTGTGAGGACACCTCTGTCAGCAATATCTATGGTGTGACAATTGGCTTTGTGATACTCATCATTGACTCCCTGGGCATTGGTGTGTCTTATGTTTTCATCCTCCGGGCAGTGATGAATTTGGACACAGCAGAGGCCCGACTAAAATCTTTTAGCACTTGTAGCTCCCATATTTGTGCCATCTTAGCTTTCTACATCCCCATAGTTGTCTCCTCCCTGATCCACAGATTTGGCCACCAGGTCTCTCCTCCAGCTCACATCCTTCTGGCCAACTTCTACCTCATCTTTCCCCCTGTCTTAAATCCCATTGTTTATACTATCCGGACCCAAGTAATGCAGAGGAAGTTAATCAAGATGCTATCCTGGGCTGAGAGACCAATCAGAGGCCTTTTCTAAGCTTTTCAGTAACATTTTTTTACTTTAATAACTCATTAAAGAATATTTAATATTGAATTAATATCAGTTGAATTAATATCAACCCTGAGCAGTCCAGATGGGAATGTCAATGTTCTGACAGAATGCCTGAAGATTATTTGGATCTGCATGGGGAGGAACAGTTCAACCTTGCCTAGGTCAAGTAGCCGTAGTTATTTGGACCCCCTGGAGACGGAGATCTGGGGAGTTATCATTTTTGGTTTTGTGTGAGGTGATACTTCCTCATCAATACTGTATACAATTTAGGGATCCTCCTGGACTCACTGTGGCTCTATGACTAAGAAGGTCTTCTCTCCCATCCAACTGGTGCATCAATTGTGCCTGTTCCTACTACAGCAGGCCCTTCAGATGATCACTTATGCATTAGTCAGCTCATGATTGGACTATTGCAATGGATTCTACAAGGGGCTGCCCTTGAAACCACCTAGAAGCTGCAACTGGTCCAAAATGCTCTGATGCAGGTAATGAAAACATATTATGATCGGGCTATTTATCCTCTGTGCTTCAGGAGCTGCATTGGTTACCATTTCAATGTGCTGGTTTTCACATATAAAACATCTCTGTCTCTCCCTCCCTCTCTCTCTGTGTCTGTCTATCTATCCGTCTATCCGTCTATCCGTCTATCTATCTATCTATCTATCTATCTATCTATCTATCTATCTATCTATCTATCTATCTATCTATCTATCTATCTATCTATCTATCTATCTATCTATCTATCATCTATCATCCATCCATCCATCCATCCATCCATCCATCCATCCATCCATCCATCCATCCATCCATCTATCTATCTATCTATCTATCTATCTATCTATCTATCTATCTATCTATCTATCTATCTATCTATCTATCTTCTCTATCATCTACCTATCTAATAATCTAATACAGAGGTGTCAAACGTCTTGACACGTGATGTGATGAGTTTGACAGCCCTGATCTAATACATTTCTCTCTCTCTCCCTTGTCTATCACTTCTCTCTCTCACTCTCTAATATCTCTAACAATGGGGACCAAGGATACCCCCCCCCCCCCCCCATTAACAGAGACCTCTCCATGGGCCACATAACCTCCTGGAGCACCGCTAGACGCTCGATGCTTTACCAAAGGACAGCAGGATCTTTTAACAAGATATTAAAAGACTGAGCACTCAGCATTTCCATTTAGTTGCAAACTTTAATAAAAAAAACCACTTTAAAAGAAAGATGTATTATACAATATGTATCTTGATATTATATGGTCTTGCTTGCATTGTAAATAAAACTGAGTAAAGCAAATAATAAAGGTAAAAGAACTTTTTATCAGCAATTTATTCTGGTCACCACTTTCTGTAGTGAATTAGGATGTGAATTTCTGAGATAGTTGTCCATGGATTGCATTGTAAGAATGACTGAATCTCATTAGAAACCAATGTCCAAATCAGATGAAGCAGCTTCTCTGGTTGACTACTTGCTGAAGGCGAAAGATTCTTCCCTCTCTCCATGATCCTCCTGGCCTTTCTTGGCACTGAGTTTGAGAGCTGCCACCCAGTAACCCCTCCTCATGCCTCAGCCAATGGGTCTCCCTGGCCCTGGAGAGCTGTGCAGGGAAAGGGATTGAGATCTTTTGAGAGAAAACTAGTCCCAAACTGTGGGATCCACCAGGCTGATTTCTCACCCCTGCCCTGAGTAAAGGAAACCTTCTCCCACACCATAATCAGACTGATGAGATGGGGAGCTTTCTTGCTTTGGCTTTTATGGGACATGGATGGGAGCCGCCCAATATATATATTGATTGGCAGCTTACAACAACAGAAAAACACAATGTAAAACTATAAGAACATTAAGACATCAAAATGTTCAACATTAAGAATTAAAACATTAAAATTAGTCAAGAACTAGATAAAAAGGGAGCAAGATGCAGACACTGTGAAGGTGGCATCTTCAATTAACGCAATAAAATGCTTGTCTCCGTGACAAGCAAGGAGGGGAGAACATTTTGTCAGTCACAAAGCCTGAAAGTGGAATGGCAACACCCTCTGCAAGATCTGCTGGGGAGAGCCAGAAAGGCCTCAGGCCAAGGCCAACTAGATTTGAGTGGCTGTCATCTAATAGTACCTGGCTTCATATATGTTATTGTTTAAAAGATGTGGATCATTGTGGAGACACACATTTTTGGGTAAAACAGCCCACAAGTGAATGAGGCTGTATTTCTTCACACACAAGGGTAGAGGAGGAATTGATTCATTCTGTCTCGAGAGAGGCGGCTATAAAGATGCCTGATATTCTTCTGCTGTGGAACATAAGTGCTGAAGGACAGCTAAGAATTCTCACCAGGTGAACCCTTACCCATCAGTGGCAGGACTGGAGGTTGAACTGAAAGCCATGCAGGCCCAGAGCATTGAGAAGTCCCAGAGAGAAGCTAAGGAGCAGAGAAGCTCCAGGTTTCAAGCCGAGACCGAGGATGGCGGCAATAACAGCAGCAGTGATGAGGTTGATGGCAGGGACACCACAGGCTGAGCTCCAAGGTTCCAAAGGTCAGGCTAAAGCTGAGGGCCAGCGTCCGGTGGTGGCAAGAGCAGAAAGTCTTGCCAGACAGGGATCCAAGAGCCAGAAGCAAGCAGACAGATTGGCCAAGCAGCCAGAAGCAGAGCAGTCTGCAGGAGAGAAGAAGAGAGAAGAGCATCCAGAAGCCAAACTGGGAGATGAATGATCCACAGGAGAGGTCTCAGGGCAGTGGAGAGTCCCAGAGATAGCAAGGCTGATGGAGCTGGGCGATGGGCTGGATTAAGAGGCAGGCAGAAGCTCATGCTATTCCAGAGCCTGAAGGAGGGTAGCAACAGATGGGTGAGGCCAGAGGCCAGCAAGCCTGACCAGCTGGAGACTGAGGTCTGTGGGTGGTAAGGTAGTCTTAGGTTCCTCTTAGGTGATTGGGGAGGGAGCTCTCTCTAGGGAGAGAGACTGGGAGGGGGGCCTGTAGTAGTTGAGTGGGACTTCAAGTGCTTAGGTACTGTAGGAGTAACCTCTTCTTACTCCCAATGTAGTATGGATAAGGTGATGGTCAGTAGAATGCCTTATGGTGCTGGTGGAATGCTAAGGTTAGAGAGGGAGGGTCAATATATTTCAGTGAGTGTATATATTAGAGCTTTTTCAGTTACTAGCTTTTTTTAATCAAAAGCTTTTAAAAACGATGTGGATAATACAGTACCGAAATAGAGTATTAATATATATTAGATCTTTTTTTTAATTAGAGGAGAAAATTCCTTCTCACCCTTATGGGTATTTTGTGTCTTCCTCAATCTTGGATGTCTACCAGAGGCCTGGGAGGTTCTGCACAGGATCCCAGCCCTGAACTCTTCTGTACAGAAAGTTCTGGTGTCATTCCAGGAATCTGTTAGAGCTATTATTCCATATAAGAGTCCCAGACCCAAGTGCTCTTACCGCTACTGTAACCACTTTGGCCTTTACTTTCCACATCCTCTCCAGTTCCTCCTTCAGGCTTTGTACTGTACTTCTCCAGGTTCTCATACCCCTTCTTCCTGATGTTGTGTCACTTGGCATCAATACATCACCGCTGGCATCTTCTGGTGTTTGTCTACTATCATGATGCCCAGTTCATTGGCCAGTACCTGCCTGTATTTTGGATCTGAAAATCCCAGAGGATCTTGGCCCTATTATTTTCCATAACCTTCTCTGGAATCTGCCATCTAGATATAGGAGGGTCCAACCCAGGGGTGGGCAATTAATTTTCCCAAGAGGTTGTTGTGGGCTCCTGCTGCTACCCCCTGTCAGCATTGGGGAGTGGAAACCTCCATACATTGTGAGGAGTTTCCAGGTTTTCACACTGGCAGCTTCCATTTCCTTCTTTGGCCAGCTCACTATGCCAGCAGGTGATGGCTGGCAGAGCATATATGTTGATGCCATGGATCTTGTTTTTCCCATTGTTCTTCAGCACCTGTCTAATCCTTTGGTGGTACTTGGATGTTTCTGTCTTCCTTGCCTCCTCATTGTGGATCCCATGTGACTGTGGGATATCAAGGTATTTGTAACTGGTCTCTATATCTGCTATGTGGAACCATAGTTCCATCTTATCAGTCTTAACTACTTTCCCTCTCTTGACTACCATCTGGCTATACTTCTTTAGTCCAAATGACATCCCAATGATTTCACTATAGATCTGTATCAGGTGGATCACCAAATCGATGTCTCATTCATTCTTTGCATACAACTTGATGTCATTCATGTAGAGGAGGTGGCTAATGGTAGTTCCGCTCTTGAATTTGTATCCATAATCAGTCTTTGTGATCATCTGGCTGAGGGAGTCAATACTATGCAGAACAGCAGCGGTGGCAAAACTCTAAAATAAGAGTGAGGAGCATTAAATGGGTGTAGGGGAGCTTAATGGTTAGAATGTGGAAGACTATAATTACAAAGCACTCTAATATGGCAAACTAGGTGTTCATTCAATATAGTTTGCTGAATAATTTTAGCAGTCTATCAAGATACATGCAGGAGGAATTGGGGAGCACCCGTAGTTACTTATGGATTGTGCAATGTGTTGATCATATGGCTGCCACTGAAAATCCTCAGAAATTTCAACCAATCTAGAATGCAATGGCATGAGCAGGTACCTCAATGTTTCTGTCTATCAAACAGAGTCACCGTGCTCCTGGTCCCATCCATTAAACAATGCCACCTGAAGGGCTTAGGCAATATGTTTTCTCTGCTGCAGTGCCAGCCCTTGGAAAAACATCTCACCAGAAATTTGAATGGTCCAGACCCTGCTCAACTTTTAAATGTACCTTGAAGTTCTGGCTCCTTCTTCAGGCTTTGACTAGAATGGAATATAGCAGTGGTGGCGAACCTATGGCATGGGTGCCAGAGGCGGCACTCAGAGCCCTCTCTCTGGGCACGCGCGCCGTCGCCCCAGTCCTAGGCCTTCAGGTGGGTTTTATAAAACCTTTTCACTTTAGGCTTCCACCG